TGGCCACATTCTTCGCAAGCCTGATAACGACCTGACGAAAGCTGTCTTGGCACCACTTCCCTGCCCGAACTGGCGGTGTCGGCTCGGTGAACAGCTGAAAACCTGGCTCGACACGGTGCGAAAGGCTACCGAAAACCTTGACCTCCGCTCCGTCTACGGCGTTCGCCAATGGAAGTCAAACTGGATCACAATATGCGCTGCTCTTGCCGCAGATCGTCGAGCGTGGGCAGCGGCTATTCGAGATATCCATGAAGCTGGCTTATCTTTTCCCAGGAGCCAGCCGCCGTAAAGTAAGTAAGATAATTAAAGTTAGTATTCAACAATAAATTATTTCCAAATTTTTGTATCAGTGTGTCTTCTCCGTTTTACTTTATTGTTCAGCTGTTATTTTTCCAATCTCCTTAAGAAAGATTTTAAACTCCTTCGACCTGAACTGACCCTCACTAACCGTTTGTCTTCAATCCCGCTGAAGGAGTTGGTAACTGACCTATGCGAACGTCATTGGAATGCATGTGAAACATTTGCACATAAGATTCTAATCGACTCCAGACGCATATCTAACTTCTTATTGTTTCCATCCCTTAACTAGATCGCAATATCGTTCTGTTCCCTCTGGAATAAGGGCATATCGTAACTCTGCAGTACACTCATTAGGATGTATTCTAGTTAACAAATAACAGGCTTTAACAAATTTGGTAATTGTTTGGGCTTTCTATCTCCCTCGCTCCAAACTGTACATTTGTAATTGAAATGTACGCTTTATGCTTAGAAAAGTTATAACAATACAATACAATACAATACATGTGTTTAACCAATTCCACCGGAGCAAATATGCTGTGTCATGTTAGGCTGATAGCGCCGCATCATGCCAAATCGATACAGACGTCATTGTCAATGCATTGCTAGAAGATCACATACTTCTTGTACCCCTCAGGTACAAAACAATCAAAATGATCGTTTCCACAATATATCTAGGAGTGCAAAAACTTTTGTATACAATTAACTGTAATCAAAAGTGCGTAAAGATTGCAAACAAAATTGAATCAGACATGAAACCACATAAAACAACAAATGCTCAATTCAGGAAACATTTCGGGTTCGATCTGTTTTGTAGTTTTCTGGTAATGGATTCATTTGAGATAACGTGGACCGTGCAAGTGCAGCTCTGTCCCGACAGAAATCAACGGAAATCAGGTGGAGACAAAGGAGTTGTTGATAGACGTTACGAGAAAGACAAAAGCGGTCGTGGTAGAACGAGAGTGACGGGCAAACATGAGAACAGCGGTCACAATGTTTGAAGGCGTTTCAGGCAAAGCATTGAAGAAGGCCTAGAAGACCATGGTACCGAAGGTTGACACTAAGAAAAAGTGCGGAGGAACGACAGCTACGCCATCTGAATCTACAAGGTGTTGCGCCAGATTCATCCCGATACCGGTATCTCCTTGAAAGCCATGTCTATCATGAACTGATTCGTCAATCACATCTTCGAGTGTAATCCCTCTGAGTCTAGCCTCACTACAACAAGCTCTCAGCCAAACGGCAGTTCATCTTCTGATGCCTGGTGAGTTGGATAAGCATACCCTCTCCGAGAGTACCAAAGCGATGACCAAGTAAGAACACTAGCACGAAATAGATCCGGCGGCGTCCGTCACGGGGTAGAGAACTTATCCACGACCCTTTTGGCATAAGTTGGTCCGGTGGTAACGTCATCAAATGATCACCGCGGGGATGTGTGTACAAATCGGACTACAGATATTGACCAAACTCGTGCAACATCCTGATTTTCATTACATTTGTTCCTCTCAATTATTTATTCTTCCAGCCTCATTCACGGGATTGAATATGATATTGCCTCATATCAGATGCAACATAGCTGATATAATATCCACTTGTTTCACTGCTTCTATTAGTCACATGCCATTAGAATGTACAATTTCGCGCTTTCAACGATTTTTGCAAATGCATCAGTTGTAAGATAACAAGGTCACAGTAAAAAACCTAACTGTAATTTATTTATTAAAATGACTCATAGACTTTATACAGGTATTGCACTTTCATCTCGTTCATGTTCCATTTGCTTCTCTTCACTTTTGAGCACTGGAGGCAGTCTCTTCAGGATGAAATCCACCAAGTTAACTGCCAAACAGAATTTGCAAGTTTCATTTAATACACCGCACACCTTTACCACTGGCGACCAATGGCAAGGTAGCTGATTTATCCCTGTTTCTGATAGATTGAAACGTTTCCGATTAAATTAAAATCCTAGCTGCTGCGCGTTAATAAAACGAATTTGACATTGAAATCGACCCCTCTAGAAACTGTATAAATGTGAAAAAATAATATTTATTCAGGTCTAACCGTTTTCTACCACCAAGCTGAAATGGGTTTTCAAAATGAGGGTGATGTTGCACGAGTTTAGTCAACACCTGTACCATCACGTGACTTTTCCCACAATGTACGTTGAACAGCAACCCCTTGATTAGTCGCTTCCCTCTTCCAGAAAGTTTTTTTTGTATATTCAATAAAAGATAGTAAAAATGAAAATGAAAGAAAAATAAAACGATTCTGGGCTCTGTGTTTTACATCAACTATATATCCATACATATGTATAGATAGAGAGATACGCAATAAGTTTTACCCGGAAATATTTCTCACCAAAGGGAATGAATGAATAGTACCTGAATTTCTATATGCGTTTCCAGCCAATTTATGAGGTGAATCGTTGCAAGAATGATTGTAAAATAGGATCCATTTTGTTCGTATAACAGAACGTGAACAAGATCATCTTCCAAGCATTAACATGGAAACTTACTCAGTAGCTTCTTTGATATTCTGGTGNCTGGTGGAAGAACAGTCTTCTTCTTCTATGGAATATATAATTAAGATTAATGTGAAAGAAAAAGATGAAAGGAAATGCCAAGCTGATAATGATAATAATATAACGATAATAATAATAATAATAAGCTGATAATAATAATAATAATAATGATAATGATAATAATATAGTTAAATAATTGGGAGGAATGGAGCATTTTGTTTGATCACTTGATGAATTCGTGGTGCAAAGGCAGCATAAGCTGAAACGTAAGTGGTGTGCTGAGCGAGGTGCAATGCCCGCAACTGGAAGAAACTTACTGACAGGCAGTAAACAGCTTAACACTTCATGGAGAGGTTCAACATGGGGAATTTCAATGAACATTAAGAGGCAAAACATATTCTGACATTCCACAATTTTGAAATGTGGAAATGGAAACAAACTCAACCATATCAACCAGTTCAACGATAAATCGCTAAAACTTAACTTTCCTTGGTGAACTCACTGGTTCATAATCTTCAATCCGATCTTGTGAATACGAGCAACTATCGCAATACTGTACACTATACAATCAGAAAAACCGGTTTACAAAGGCAGAAAACCACTACTGGTTAAGACTTGAGCAACAGATACGGCAAATTATCTTCAAATAAAAATATGGCAATGTGATTTGCTCACTTCTCAAGATTGGTTTCAAATTAAAAATAACCAAAGTTTGCTCGTGTCGGAGCATTCACCCAACGGGTCTGCTCCTACCAACGAAAAGTGTGCACCGGTAATATATACTATGCCCTCCTGATTACTCGGCATTTTATTGTACTTGTAAAATGAGACCCACAAAAGGTTTTTCGTAGACTAAACCAACAACAGCAACAAAAAACGACGCGCAAAAGTGTACAATCAATAGTTGTACAAATTATAAACTGAACTGAACCATCAGTCGCGATGCAACGTATTTCTTCTGGATACACGTTCGGAAAAATTGAGATTCCCACAGTCTTACATCTGGCGAAATTGAGATAACGGTGAAAGATTTACTGTAACGAAAGCGGTCTTTATTGCATGAAAGCAACAATAATCCCAGACAAGCATTGACGATTCGGATCTTTTATACACATTTCATTCTTTATCGAAGCCTCATGAGTGCAAATAACTCACGTAGATAATCACCTGCCACCCTGAATCAACTTTATGAGTAGACGTTATAAATAGAAGAAAATCCACCGCTGACGTTCTACGTGTTCCCATCATCCTGTTGAAGCATCGGTTGGTCGTTGTCTTATTTCGATCATGATGCAGTGAACATTAAAGAATGGGTATCCCATGTGCACATTCATGTGTTCCGGGGAGGAAATTGAATGTTATCTTAAATATTATATTATCTGCATGGTATGAATGATAAACCATAGACACCTCTATTTTTTTAAATGTAATTCGTAATCTGTTAATCTAATTTAAACTTGATTGTATCCTGAAGAACGTTTCAAAGATCAGTAGTACCTTAAATGTATTTTCTAGTATCTATTTTAAACAAAACAATACTCTGTGTGTAAGAATTCCACACTGCCTATTAACTAGCCTTCATTTTGTTCCTCCTCTTGTTCATCATCTTCATCGCCTCTGGCATATTTCTTGCGACAACGACATCGCTTCTTCTTTCTCGGGGGTTGCACAACTTCCTCCTCCTCGTTCTCCTGTTCCTCCTCTCGACCGTCCTCCTCTTGCTCCCGCACTTCTTCCACCTCCTCCTCTTCTGCACGTTCATTCTCTTCACTTTCTCGTTCATAATCATCTTGTTCCTCGCTCCCTTGTTCCTCGTTGCTCTGCTCGTCCGTGGTCTCGTCCGAATTCTGCTGTTTCTCGCTTATTTCTTCCTCCTCTGCCTCCTCACTTTGGTTCGTATCGTTCGTCTGTTCTTCATTCTCCCCGTCGTCCTCACTGTCCGACTTCTCCGCTCCGTCTTCATCCTTCCCACCCTCTTCATTGTCCTGTTCCTCATCCTCTTCACCATCATCATCCTTGTGGTCCGCCTGTTTGCCTACAATGCGTACAGCATAAAGGTGATGAGCATGTATATGGTTGGATCAAACAGAAGGAGCATTGGACAAATATTTAGTCCTCCATAGGACTCATTAGCACTGATCTTTTGTGCATGTGCGTGTTTTACTGGGATTTGAAATGCCCGGCCTTGGAATAAAATTTATGACAATCAACCCTGAGTTACACGTCTGATCGACAGCATATCAGAAAAATGGATCCACGGGTAGGTTTAATTGATACTGGCAAAGTGACGTTTCAACTGGCACATCAATTGTCTTTATTGAATAACTCACCCGAATGACACTTCATCAAACGCACTGGTTAGAGAAAAAAAGTAGTGAAAATGAATCCGGTTATTTTCAACAGTCGGTGATCAACTTATACCATTTTGGTCTATTCCAGTTTCCTTTATTATTATTTTCAGCGAGGACAGTTCAGATTTTTATTAAAAAAACATCGTTTGTTTCCCTGTGCATCCTTGGCTTTGCAAAAATCCGTTTTAGCTGCCCTCATTGCTTGATTCTATGCATCTGATAGCTACGTTTCACAAACGGAGCAATTCAATGATGAATTCACTTTAGACCTATCAATGTTTTTCATTAAATCTATAGTTTATAGAAAGAAAGCGATCGACCAAATCAGAGCGCTGCAAGGGGTAAAATGTCATATGTTGGATAGTTTCGAATACACATTCTGCGTAGTGAGGCACTGATGACCAACATCGTTTTGGCAGCGCCGTCGATAACAAGCTCCGGCTGACAAAAATGAATCGTGGACAACAGTGGGAACCACAGTCAAAAAATTGGTTATTTCATGTTGCTTCAGCGTATGCCGCATATGCAACAAGTTCATTTCTCAAAGCATTCGTCGTATTGGTTCATTCAAATTATTGATTCAGTAAGTTCATTTCGAAATTATCGGAATCCATCGTGAAAAACACGCACGTGATTTTTGTATTCTCCACTGTTTTCCTTTGAGAAATTCCAATTAATTAGATCATATATATCCTACAAGCATTATATCTTCTTTTATTTGTTCCGTCAGGAACTGAATGTGAAAGCCAAACTGTTGTGAAGAAGACCAATGCAATTCGTTCCAAGATAACCCCGGCTACATAATTGCTAATTCTGTGAAAAAAATCAAACAACGTTACACCAGATTTGACCCAAATTTGGGTCGTCGCGGAGCAATACTAAACTCGCGGAGATAAATCAATAATATTGCGTCATACAGTAATATTCACTCTCTCCGTCCGTCTGGTCCGTAGCCTGTGGCCGGTTGAACATTGCTTACTGTGTATTTCATTNATTTCATTAGTACATTCATTTTCTTTCATTGACAAATGTTATTTCCATTCACATATAAGCAGCGAAGCTTGTAAATTGACTCATGACTCGTGACTCGTGACTTGCGATTTGTGCTCAACACCATTAAAAAAATCCCGTGCTGCTGAAGTCGTGTCTTCTCTCCCGTGTTTTTCGGAGGCCTGAGAGATTCGTAGCCGGCTGTGCGTCCTGTGTTTCGTCTGGGTAGCTTCTGCTCCTAGAACTATCATCTGCTCACGGACTTGGTGCTAGTCCACTGTTCCCGTGTTCCCAAGTGCTACTATTGTTACTGTGCTATATTTTGGGTTCTTTGCACTTGCGGTATTCGCCTGGGACATAGTGCTGTGTGTCCTAATAGTAGGCAGCGTAGTAAAACATAACAATTTAGTGAAATAACACATTTACATGTGACGATAGAATATTCCCCCAAAACATTTATACTCCTAACTGCAGGTGATATACTTTCCCAATGAACTCACTGAAAACCTCGCTTGGAATGTTCACATTATTGCAGTTGTTCTCTTTGAACAATGAACGATGAAAAACAGCGAAATCAGTTATATGTAGAATTGACATGCTACTATGTGTGCAAACATAAGAGCGTTTAATACAACTCATTGACGGTATAGCATAACACGAGAAAGGACTAAGCGCAAAGGATCCCTCGTTATACACTTTGAAAATAGCACGCTAGATGTTTCCCACTGTCCACCACAAGCTAAATTCGGCTCAATTATTCTGTGTTCTCGAGCACCACAATCCTCGCTTTATTTGACCTTTTCTTATCCAACATCATTGACAATTGTATCGATTCTTTGTCTAACTTTATCACACAATTTCTTTTGATATTAGGCTAACCGTTCGCTATTCCTTTTACCATCTCGTCAAGTTGTTGTAGACATCGGTTTTCCCGCTGGCTAACTCGCATTTTTATACCTCAACTCTCTTGTTTTTCCTGTCATTGGATTGAGCCAACGTCTGCGCTCAGCAGTAGGGACCGTTAAGCGCCGAGTAGTTGGACGATACTTTGTCATGAATTAGTTCCATAACCACTTAACCTGGATTCGCGTGATGTTGAACACCTCAAGCGTCAAACAGGGTCCACATTGTGCTACAAGGTGAAGTACAATGCTTTTCTTGTACGCTTTTCTTTGTTATTCTAGTCCACGCAAATTAACGATAACTAGTTGACTAAAATTGAGCTTGGGATTGGGATGAATATGCGTGATGCATCATGACCAATGAAGGATGACATTCCGGTTCAGTGAGACTATTTTTGATGCTTTTGTTCCATAAGAAACACGAATTTCAGTCAATGTCAACTAAGGGCAATTTCACGTCGGAGACAGTATTGTTTAACCAAAAAAAATGGATCCACGATTCGGTTTTATTGAGAAACTACAACCAATTATTCGATCTCATTCGTGGTCCTACGATTCATTCCGCTGACGTATTGCACCGAGGAATCTAAACTGACACTCGTGTGTATTCAATAACTTTTCAAAAACACCTAGACATGCGTGATCGTGAAATCTGATTTGTCTATTCTGTTTCTCTGTTCAATCATCACCTGCGGCTTGATTTCTAGTCTGCGCGCTAATANCTAATACACCAGTGTGGGTTGCCCAATCAAACGTGTATTCAACTCCATAGCAGCCAAACAGGTGCATAACTTCGCAGTATGGTTTGCAGTGTGATGTCCACGGGGGTTAGATTTGAAATCCTTAATCCCCTGGTGGATCGCCATAATATTTTTCTAAAATGTCAGGGTCTAACCTCAAAAACAGGTTGCTCTAAGCAACAAACAAAAACGGCATAATAACAATTCAAATGGGAAATCCATAAAATATTCGATATGTTTCCCTAGCGAGTGTGGTTGCTGTACCGTAAGTCGGATTGGATCGACCAATATGAATTAAACATAAGAGTATAAAACATGAACTGCTGATGGTTTGAGAAGTATATAGAAGTATATATAACTAGACAAAATGACTCACGCCCGCAGCTTGGTGAACTGGATCTACTTGAAGCACAGTTTAACATGTGCACTATCACGGAAAGAGAGCGAGAAGAACAACGTGGTGAAGTTATTACAATGAGCTGGATTGCTTATCAAAACTGTATGTACTCAAACTTTCCTGATCACAGTACTCCACTAAGGGTTGTGAGATCTAATTGACAGTAGACGAACGGCTTAGCAACTCCAGCAAGTAAGATTTACGTGCAGTTATTCGCTTCTCTTCTGGCTAATCATTCATAGTTTTTGCCGGGATTAAGAAATAAAGATGAGAATAGTAGTAAATACTGTTTACGTCCTTCCGTTTGATTTCTGTTACCACGGTCCGGGATGGGGAAAGCACATCGAGGTGACCACAGGACCGTATGTGAAACGTTAGTTTTACAAATTTGTTTTGCACCGCGATGGTAGAGAAGCTAATAGGCCAATTTCTACACTATCATCGCATCAAGAGTCTGCTCGTGCCACCAGTTCAGGTCGTCTCGGGGAACAGGATGGCACAATCAGGTAATTTTGACTGTTTCGCCTGTTCGCCGAGCTTGGCAATTTATAATTCAGTTTACCCGAGCTACGAGAACCCATTTTCAATAATTTGTCAATTTTGACTGTGTTGTATAACATTCTGGTGGCCCTTGATACAAGTCGGAGAAGCAATTCCACCAGTTCGAAGTTTTGACTGATCGCAGATCTCGAATTTCCTCTGGCTATCTGCGTCACTCGCGAATGATAAG